GACAGTTGCGGAACTAGCCAAATGTGGCACCCATGCTCAATCCCTAAAGAGATGGGATGGGATCAAAAGATGCAATCTTGCCAGGATCACCCTGGGAAGCTGGCGCCGAAGAAATATCTGGCGATGATCAGGAAAAATCTGCCCTTAACAGTTGGATTTCTGACTACACCTGCCTGTTTGGATGTACTAATTAATAAGCACATGTTAGCAATAGTATTAAGTTTATTATTTAGGACACAAACACTATACAACCAGAGTATTCAGAATAGGAACAGGATGTAACAACCAGCATGAGGTTATTAGTTACAAATATGTTACCAACCTAATAGTTCCCAACCTAACATTTACCAACCTAACATCCCCCTTCTTGAGTTTCAAATACAAAAATAAAATATGAAATACATTACAATGTAGGTAGTATGTAACTTATGCTCTAATCTAACAAATTATTTAGAAATACAAATATTATTTACAACAAAACAAAAAAATTAAAAATACAATAATGGTTTAACGTCAAGAATACAAAGCTCACAAATACAAACTTTACAAGTCTAGTCTTTCTGGTTTTTTTGATTACTCTATCTGACCTAGTATAAAAGTGGTAGTGTCTCTGCTGCTGTTAGCGTGGTTCTCATTACTCCGGTAATTCTCGAACAAACTATTTTGTGCTTCTTGTCTAATTCAATAGCAGTAGCTGTTCATTTCTCCTCTGCACCAAACCAAAGAAGCTTGTTTTATCATGTATCTAACGACCATTGTCTTTTCAATTCATCATATCGGTCCGTTGATGTGTTTGGTCAACACTAGGGCTACTTTAGCATTTCTCTTTATCCTGTTGAAATGTCTAGCATCCTTTCTTCTGTCAGTCGTATCTCGCTCATTTATTGTAGGCATCCTAGTCCTTCATTCTAGGAAAAATATTTATTATAATATTCATTTTTTTCTTCTCGTACAGGAAGTAGTTGACTAATGAAGGCAGTGAGGTGCAATAAGAACACAAATGATGCAATTTTTTCACTTTCATATGAAATATATACTGGAATCAATGATGGGGAAGTTGCGGCGGCTATGTTTTGTGATTTATCGAAAGCTTTTGACTGTGTGAATCATAAGATACTGCTGCGAAAGCTTCACCATTACGGATTTAGAAATAAGGCACATTCATGGTTTACGAGATATTTATCTGGCCGCACACAAGTAGTAAAAACAAAAACAATGTCAAGCTTACGTAATATACAGTGTGGTATTCCGCAAGTATCAGTCTTAGGTCCAATTTTGATTTTACTATATGTCAATAACTTGACGATGCTTGACATTTCGGGAAGTTTCACACTATTAGCCGATGATACCACCATATTGTGACATAAAGATAAGAAAGCCGATCTTCAACAGGTCATCAATTCAGATATAACAAAGGTTGAAGAGTGGTGCGACTCAAACCTTTTATCCTTCAATATATTAAAAACCAAAATAGTGTCTTTCAAATGCGCAGTATCTGATATTTCTATCAACCACTTTATGAAATTGGCAATTTATACAATCCTGTATGTCATCTGCATAATCTTCTGTTGAGCAATCCAAGTGAACTATCATTTAGGAGTGATTACAGTAGGGAAATAATACACTATCCTGATGATCTTGAACCTAATTGCCTCGTTTTGAGTCATAATAGCAGTACTGTTCATAAACATGCTATAGGTCTATTCAGTAATTCATCAATTAATTAACCTAAATCAGTATCCCTAATGAGAATATGTTCTCATCATCAACGTAATGATCGATTCTGTATCTTGTTTTGCCGAAGCTGATCCAATAGTCTTAGGTATTTGAGGACAAAACACAAGCACTACAGAAAAAGCAGAAAGAGTAGTTCTCCAAATGAAAGAGTTATTGAACAGAGAAGTTTGAGATGCACTGACTTGAACCTCAAAACTATGAGCAACCACAGTCCATCACGTATTTCTGATGTGTACCGCTCTTGGTGGAATCAAATGTGCTAAGTCACTTGAACACCTCCCGTGAAAGTGTCAATGAAAGGTTGTGATATTTGCGCCTCCAATCAGGCGGATGGTTTTTTTCTGGATGGAATCCAGCCGCTTCAGGGTATGCTTAGGAGCGAAGCTTCATGCATGTGAGCACTACTCCAAAAAGAAAGTGTCATCTGAGCTTCATAAAGCACCAAATGTTGCGGGAGTGTGTACAGTTTTCTAGTTCGAAACAGCGTTCCAAGCTTTAGAGAAGCAGCCTTTGCAATTCCAGCGACATGATTGTGCCAAGACCTACTGCTGTCCATTTTAACCCCCAAGAAACTTATCGAAGCAGAACTTGGCATTGTCTGTCTGACGTTATCAAACCCGGTTCGGAGACATTTATCTTTTTGGAGGAAACCGATCCCTGGGTATTTTATCTCTGTATCGGTAGAGTAGGGACGGTTAGCGTAGACCCACAGCACTTAGGCCACATGTGACCCATTATACATCCTCCCGAAGACTTGTCCTCCTTGGTCATCGTCCATTCTATGCTTTCTATATCGGCAGGTGTACGCCAAAACACGCCGAACACACAATCTCTTATTGGCAATAACTCCGGACACTCGCATAGGACATGCCTGACAGTTTTATCTTCCTGTTCACACATCCTGCATAGATATGTGCAGAATTCCTACTGTTGAGCGTAGATTTTTCCTGGTCATCGCCAGATTTTTCTTCATCGCCCAGGGTGATCCTGGCACGATTGCATCTTTTGATTTCATTCCACCTCTTCAGGGATTGAGCTAGTTCCGCAATTGCGAAGTCATCAGGCAGTAGGTGTCACTGGGTCCTGAAATTCTTAGTTCAGCCGCTTCCTTGGCTAAAGAGTCGGCAATACGAAAACCTTTACTCCTGTGGTGCTCTTTAATCCACCTCAGGATAATGTTATTATCTACCGAGGCTTCGGCTAAATCTTGGTGGCACTCTAGTATTATCCTTGAGGTAACACGTTGTCTGTTCAAGGCTAATAGGGCTTGTCTGCTATCAGTGCAGATTGTTATGTTTCTGCCAGAAATTCCTTTCCTGGTTATTTCTTTTGCGGCGATTGAGATACCAGCCAGTTCTGTTTAAACCACACTGGTATTTTTTTCCATTCCCCACTTAATTCTTAGGCTCAGTAACCTGGAGTACACTCCACATCCTGAGCCTTTTTTGGTTTTTGAGCCATCTGTATATATGTGTATTGCATTTGTAGCATCTGACTCTGTGTTCTGGTGTTATTGAAACACTCCAGTTCGTAATCACCGCTGGATCCTCATTATCAAATCCTTTTCTGATGTCCTGGAATATGGCCACTAATCTAAATCTATCTTTGTGAGGAAGTACAGGCGACCCGCCAGATATGTCTGGCATCCTTTCAAGTCCTTTCGGTTGATAAGATATCGGGCTATTTTTTCATTTCGAAGCATAGATTTTCACTAAAATTGTTTTTATCATTTATTGAGGTTAACATTGGGAGTTAACTGTTTCAAAATGTATTTTCATCAGTAATCCCCTCAGTCTTCAAAAGTCGCAGCTTGTGCTAGGTGGAGATCAACGAGGTATTTCCTCACAACGCTCAATTCTCAGCTCGAATCGAAGTCAACAGTAGAGTATATCACTCATTTTCAGTATCAGAAATCTAAGAGTATCTTACCTCTAATAATAACTCATGAATTCAAACAGAAAGCGACGAGAATCCAGCGCCGACTCAGGAATCCGAAGCATGGGTTCAAGATCTCGCCGAGACTCCACCCATCACACCATAATGCACGACTTCAAAGCGGAAGTAGCGAAATTGTGGCAACGTAAGCAGAGCGTTACAACAACAACCACAACTGCCACAACACCAGCTGAACCCGTCGTGAGTCCCATCGCCGTCAGCGTGACGAGAAGAAGAGACAGCGGGGAATCCCACCGAAAAGAACGCAGAGATTCTTCCACTTACCACTCACGCCGCAACTCGAGAAGGGGTTCGGGGGAGAGCGGAAGAAGCGGTCGAAGGGATTCGTCGTCGGGAGTGGCTACCTCTCCGCCGAAAATAGTTGGAGTGAAGAAGAAGAGGAAGGACTCTTTGACCGTCATGGATACTCCCTATTACAGGTGAGTTTGTTTATTTTCAGCTTTCTTTATTGTAATAAAAAAAATTTGAAATATGAAATACAAGTCAATTCACTGAATTTATGTTTATGAAAAAAAGAAAAAATCGTCTCGAAGTGCGACTTTGTTCCCTCCTATTCGTGAAACGTATGCCTCCTCACATACAAGCGATTTTGGTGAAATTTTTATTCGAAAGGGCATATAGATCATAACGACAAGGAGCCACATTATCTGTTGCACAATTGCTCATATCTATTTCCTTTAAAAAACAATCAATGACAATATTAAATTTGCCTTTCTGCTGAAGATAATGTTTTTGAATGAATTACTAAAATACTGGAAAACCTATGAACCGGGGGACACATCTTTGAATCTGCCTTTTAAAGTAGACCGTGTTTATTACTCTATCAGATGAATCTTCCGACCTCAATTCCTTGATAACTTCTGCGAACGCTTTGAATAAAGCACCTTCCATACTAGAAATACTAGTAATGATATCTTCCACATGTGCATCATTTTTTGAATATTCCACCATCCATCTCATGCTTGATAAACATTTGGTTTTTTTGGTTTTTTCAATTTTTCCGGCTTTGGTGGTCCTCACCCTTTTCTTAATTCCAAGAGCTAAAGTGAATTGTATTTTTTGGTATCGTGTTGTAAGAGATACAAAGTCAATTCAATGAAAAAAATGCCTGTTTCCGCAAATGTCATTTTAAAGTTCAGAAATATTTGATTACTGCCGAATTGATTCGAAAAAAGCTGAAATACGCAATTTTATTTTTTTAAATGGACCAGAAAAGAAAACAGTTTTAAGTTAGCCTTTTTGACGATAACTTCACTGATGAGCTAAATGATCTCCAAATGGGCAGTTTCTTCCTAATTTAGCCTCCCCCGTATACCTTAACATTTTCCTATAGTATCCTCTTCATCTTGGACAGGAGAAGATGGCCAAGATAGTAAATACCCAGAGGTTTTCCGGGTGACAATTGTCTAACGTGCCGAAAAGATGTATAACTCTGATTCCACTCAGTACTACTAACAGAACTATCAATATTCTGGGCGCTCTCTGGTCGTCATGATAATGTGGAGCTCTACCGTGACAACTTTCCAAAAATAGCCGAAGTCTACAGAGGAGATAGACGTCAACTCCTCCTGTAACAATGGATCAAGAAAGAGCGTCACATTTCTTCCACTTCTGAGCTGGGTTTACAAACGAGATGGAGGTTAACCAGAAGGTTAACCCAACTGGAGGTTGAGCCAAATATCTTTCGTGTAACATCGCATCAGGAGCAGAAGCTTCTTGGCTTTCAAAATCTTGACCAAGTGGAGGCGACCTATGGCCTGGCGAGAACAGTATATTTTGTGAATCTGCTTGGAAGCAGAGGTGGAATCTGCATCAGGAGAGAAATCTCCCTTTGAGAAAATTTTGTGAATGTTTGTAAACTAGAGTTTGAAAAGTCATGTTTGGCAGAATCTAATGAAACGTCGGGAATAGCTTACGTGCAGATGCTATGAAAAAAAGAAAAAATCGTCTCGAAGTGCGACTTTGTTCCCTCCTATTCGTGAAACGTATGCCTCCTCACATACAAGCGATTTTGGTGAAATTGTGATTCGAAAGGGCATATAGATCATAACGACAAGGAGCCACATTATCTGCTGCATAATTGCTCATATCTATTTCTTTTGAAAAACAATCAATGACAATATTTGATTTGCCTTTAAATCTTTCTGTTGAAGATAATGTTTTTGAAGGAATTGCTAAAGTACTGGAAAACCTATGAACCGAGGGACACATCTTTGAATGTGTCTTTTAGAGTAGACTGTGTTTATTACTCTATCAGATAAATCTTCCGACCTCAACTCCTTGATAACTTCTGCGAACGCTTTGAATAAAGCACCTTCCATACTAGAAATACTAGTAATGATATCTTCCACATGTGCATCTTCTTTTGAATATTCCACCAACCATCTACGCTTCCACTGTTGTGTTTTTTGGTTTTTTCAATTTTTTCGGCTTTGGTGGTTTTCACCCTTTTCTCACTTTCAAGAGGTAAAGTGAATTGTATTTGGTATCGTGTTGTAGTTTGAGGAAATACCTGTAGACGAATGTTATGTCACATATGTTATGTTAGGCTTTATGATAAAGATTTCAGTCAATCTGTAGACGATGTTTATGTTACGTAAACATTTGAGAGTGAAGAAAATATATTTTTTTAAGTTCGAGTAAACCGTCAGCCCAAAATAAAGAAGCTGACTTGGGAAAATCGAAAACTGTAAGAGATACAAAGTCAATTCAATGAAAAAAAAATGCCTGTCATAGAGTTTCCGCAAATGTCATTTTAAAGTTCAGGAATAATTGATTACTGCCAAATTGATTCGAAAATAGCCAAAATACGCATTTTTTTTTAAATGGACGGACCAGAAAAGAAAACAGTTTTACTTAAGCCTTTTTGACAATAACTTCACTGATGAGCTAAATGATCTCCAAATGGGCAGTTTCTTCCTAATTTAGCCTCCCCCGTATACCTTAACATTTTCCTATAGTATCCCCTTCATCTTGGACAGGAGAAGATGGCCAAGATAGTAAATACCCAGAGTTTTTCCGGGTGACAATTGTCTAACGTGCCGAAAAGATGTATAACTCTGATTCCACTCAGTACTACTAACAGAACTATCGATAATCTGGGCGCTCTCTGGTCATCATGATAATGTGGTGTCAACTTCTCCTGTAACAATGGATCAAGAAAAAGCGTCACATTTCTTCCACTTCTGAGCTGGGTTTACAAACGAGATAGAGGTTAACCAGAAGGTTAACCCAACTGGAGGTTGAGCCAAATATCTTTCGTGTAACATCGTATCAGGAGCAGAAGCTTCTTGGCTTTCAAAATCTTGACCAAGTGGAAGCGACCTATGGCCTGGCGAGAACAGTATATTTTGTGAATCTGCCTTGCACCCAATTTTCGAGCAGCAGAAGTAGAATCTGCATCAGGAGAGAAATCTCCCATTGAGAAGGTTTTGTAAATGTTTGGCAGAATCTAATGTATCGTCGGGAATAGCTTACGTGCAGATGCCTTCATATGTAGAGGCCACTGATGTTAATGAATGAAAATAATGAAAAAAAATCTACGGTCAATAATGAAGGAGGAGTGAGTGAATGAAATTGAAATAATAGTTTGAAGAAATAGGTACTTTTGATGCACTATTTGGAACCTTTGGTGTAGTAATGAATATTTCTGGAGTTTTATCCCAACACCAAACCGTTATTGTAACACCTCAACACGCGTTTCGATCACCAAGTGATCATCTTCAAAAGAAAGATTAGAGGAAGTTTAATCTTCTTTTGGTGTTGGGTTAAAACTACAGTAATATTTATTGAAGAAATGAGGGTGACGACATCTGCTCTCACGATGACGCCATCTATGGGATCTACAGAGAATTCAACGAATATCAAAGATAAACGAGGCTCCCCAAGGCAGCCAGTTACAAAGCCAAGCTTCGACATCGAACGCCGATGAGATTCGTCACTGCAGCTCACACTCCAAGGCAACGAGATGAAAATTAGAGCCCAAACTCAACGCATTTATGACAGACAGTGATGTTTCGACTCGTTATAGGTTTCGTCAGTGGTACTAGGCTGAATCATTGCTGGATTCGGGATTGAGTTCTCCGTCGATTCAATTTATGGCGTCTTCGTCGCCCACATTTACTCAGGCTTTGAAGACAGTTGAGTAGCGCAATTAATTTATGGTTCAGCCTAACACCACTAGCGAGACCTATGGCAAGTGCGTCGTGTTTGAGCTCTAATTTTCAAATAGTTCGAAAAATTCAGTTCAGTAGTACACATGCCTGAAGAAGCTGTTGTATAGTGAAACATGTGTTGCTATTTTATTAATGTGTAGTGTAGTGAATGAAATTTATAAAATAAGTTCATTATTTTGAATTCTCATCAAGTATTGGTCAGTTCCATCACATATTCCTGAAGCAACCAAACTTTCTTTCTCCTAACTTTCGAATCGAATTTGCGACATTAAAGGTGTCAACTAGAATATTAATTATTTCAACCAACACTTGCGAACAAAGGATCTTCATGCATTGAAACTCACTAAAACCAGAGTAATTGAAATGGTAGAACTCTGTCAATTTTGAATAGCCTGTTAACTTTTATTTACGATTCAGAGAAAACTTTAGAACTTCTCTCTTTGCCTTGCAACATTGTCTGATCGTGATCTATATAATATCAAAAATTTAATGCGCCGTAATGCATCATTATGAGAATCACTAGATATCAATTGATTCTTAGTGTTATGTTGGAGACGTAGGCATTAGCCCAAATGAAATCTCCAATGAATAGATTTTGACTCGACATTGACTTGGCATTGAAGACATCTTCTGGAAGTAGTAGAACGAAGACAGGAATAAAGAGAGTTAGAAAAAGTTTCCAGATATGTGTAAACAATGAAATATTGTTGTGGTTGGTTTCCCGGTTTTGTCGTCGTCTTCTTTGGTTACAATCTCCAAATGTTTCAACTGCAACTGCGGCAGTCATCTTCAGTGGTGTGGTCGAAGTACTCTTCTAGACGTATTAACTGAAACTGAAGCTCTCGTCGACAGCCATCTTGGTTTTGAACAGGTTGGAGCCAGGCTCCCTTACTTTTTGGCCTGGCGTTTAAACTGAAGCTCTCATTTCTGCCATGCCATTTATAGTACTAATTTTTCGCGCACTTTCTGTAATGGCGGGTTCACACGTTTCCCGCGCGATTTGGATGGCATGGCTTCGGTTTGGCGCCTTTCAATGCTGTGTGCCAGATCTTTGGTAGGTATGTTTCTCTTCCTTTCTGTTGAAGTTCTTCTGGTGTTTGTGTATTTCTATGGCTTCTGAATACATTATTGTTGAATGATGATTCGACATTGCTGGCCTCAAAGCTAGATATCCTCGCCGGATATTGCATATTCAGCAACTGCAGACTTCTTGGTCTGTCCCAATCGGTAAATCCGCTTATGCTCGACTAGGCAGGTACCAATTCTTCTTTGCGTCTGACCGATGTAAACTTTACCACAGTTACCTGGAATCCTGTAAACTCCCGCTGATTTGAGTATTTAGGTTAGGTTGGGTCTAAAGTGAGTGGGTTAATTCTACCCTCCACCGCAACTTGCAAGGGTTTATTGTGGCTCACACCTATTTACACTCGGCCAAATAAACCCAGCTTCTTAACGAAGCCGCTTGGTTTGTATTGTGAATGTTCTTTCAGGTCAGATGATGGAAGTATGGATTTATCGAACTCTAAGAACCTGATTCGGTTCCCAGCGGGGCAGGCACAAAGTATATCCTCTGCTGTTTCATCATTTTCCAAACAGAGGCGACACGCACTGTCTTCCGACTGTCCAAGTCTCTGCATATGATGATGCAAATGACAGTGACCTGTAAGATATCGTAGTTCATTCCTACTGTAGTCCAACAGCTGTTTGGTATCAAGTTTCGAAGGGTGGATAAACGCTTTGGAGTGAGGCATAAAGTCAGAGGTCATTTCCAGAATCATGTGACTTCCAGTGGCAACCAACAGTCTGTTGCACTCTGCATTTAATTGATTTGTTCAATTAGCAATGTATGCAGTCCATCTAGCCTCTCTCTCCAGAAAAATGTGGAGAGGAGGTAGATCTAGAAGGATCTCCATGGCCGCTGACGGTGTGGTACTGATGGCACCACTGATAGCCAAACAAGCCTGCCTTTATAAGCCAGAGAGCTTCGCTTGATTTGAGTGGAGACGGTGTTAATTTTTTCCTTCTTTAGAATTTTCCCGAATCGGTTGGTGATACCTTCAGTGCCTTGGGGTTGCTCTTCACTGATGTTCTTCTTCTTTTCCCTTGGACGCTTAGCACGAATTATCTCTTTTCTGTCGTAGCCGTTCGCTTGTAACACAGTTGTTAGGTGTTTCATTTCTTCTTCGACGTACCTTTCTTCACATATTTTCAAAGCAATGATCACTAGTGTGCTGATGACAGAAGGTTTCTGTTTTGGATGATGGTTGGATCCATTATGTAGGTATCGAAATATTATAATTTTGTAGCGTCCTCGTTTGGAAAAATTAAAAAAAAAGAAAAAAAATGTAATTCTCATGCATTTTGGTAGCTGTTAGCCAAGCTGATAATTATGGATGGATTTCATGAAGGTAGAGGTGCAGTTACGTTGATACGTGTGAATACTTTCTAGATGCTGTATGTTAAAACCTTAGTAGCTATAACAATGGATGTTATGTGCTCATTATTTTGGCAATTATTTTTCAATATTTGGCAAAGGGAAATAATTTCTCACTTTGATGAAAATTGACTAACAGCCAGTATTAATTCCGATTATTGTATCAAACATTTCAGACAGGATCAAAGACCATCAACTTCTTCCACTGCTTCGGATTCGGTACCAGCTCAATACCTTGGGTTTCCATCCATCACCGCAGCTGGTAGTACTTCAGATTCGAGTACCCAGGCTCTTCCTCCACCAACCATTATCACATCTAGCGTCACACCTCCAGCAACATCACCAACCGTTCCAACGACAGTAGCTGCGCAAATTCATCCGCTTTTATCGACAAGGAGGGATTCAACCACCCAATGCGGGAGACTCGGTACGTAACGGAAGATTGTCCTTTCAATTAGATTTTCCTCAGTTCCAGGGAAATGCCAATAACAGGCGGTTTAAAAAATAGACGAATAACTTCGAAAGAATGTATTTGAGCCAGTAGACTATGAACAAAATAGAAGTGATGGCATCTCTTCTTACAGAGACAGACGCCATCTATAGGATCAACAGAGACATGGATATCAGAGACAAATGAGGTTCCCCCAAAGCGATCCGTTGCAAAGCCTAGCTTCGAATTCGACTGCCGAATAAGATTTTCCTGTCTTTCTTTGAAGCTTTCAAACAAAAACAACGAAACGCGACCCATAATTCGTCAGAAGTGTCAGGCTGAATCACAAAGGCGTTACTGGAGTTGATTGCCCTCGAAAGCGGAGACATTATCAGCAGTCTTGCCCTTTGAGTTTAGGTTATGTCAGTAATGAGTAAGTCGTTCTGTCCCAATCGGCAAGTACCGATGCTTCTTTACGTTTGACCAATATAAACTTTACCACAGTTACTTGGAATCCTGTAAACTCTCGCTGATTTGAGTGGTTAGGTTAGGTTAGGTCTAAAGTGAGTGGGTCTATTCGACCCTCCACCGCAACCCGCAAGGGTTTATTGTGGCTCACATATATTCAAATAAACTCGATCAGATAACCCAGCTTCTTAACGAATCCGGTAAGTTTATTTGGTGAATGATCTTTCAGATCAGATAGTAAGAGTGCTACAGAGGCGACACACACTGTATTTCGACAGTCTAAGTCTCTGCAAATGATGATTAAGACGAGAGTGACCTGTGAGAAGACATGTCAGACACCGTAGTTCATCCCTACTGTAGTCCACCATCTGTTTGGTTTCAACCTTGGAGTGAGCCATTTCTGGAATATTGTTTCAGAAGTTCATAAATCTTTTTGCCATAAAGATGTTCAATGTTTGTTTGGCAAAGCCTGAAGCGATGCCAATGACAGATTTTAGTTCGATGAATCTGTTTGCAGCATCCTCCTTTGTAAGGGAGTCAGCTGCCTCATTGCCTTCCAGGTCAGATATAATTTGTCGAGTCTTCCTATTGAGGAGAGTCGTTTTTGGCAATTTGCTACCAATTCAGGCGTTGCTCGGTAGGAGCCAAGAGCTTCCAACGCCTTTGAGGACATCTGAATCTAGAAATGCATTCCTTGAAGCACGAGGACATTGCTGGGCTCAATTTCTGTAAATGAAGAGTTGAAACATCATTACCATCAACAGACAGAATTGACTTTCACTGTGATTGAATTCACGTCAATTTGTTAAGCAGGTCAGCTACTAAGACCAAGATGAGGGAAAGACCAAGATGAGGGAGGTTATTGGGTTTAATTTCACCATGAATTGCAATCAGGGCGGAGCATTAAATTTTTGACGACATTTCATTTGATGTCTTTACAGAAAAAGATAGACCTCTAAGCTTATGCCGATGACCTCATTATTCAGACAACGACCAGAACGAGAAGGGTACTCTTTAATCTCCTCCAAAGATAGTTGGCCCAAACATAACGCATGTATGATTCGGCAGCCCTGTTTCGATCCGTCATAGGTCTCATCAGTGGTGCCAGGCTAAACTCAATAGATCTTCAAAGTGCACGCCTAAATAAACTACAACAATGACAACTCTTCTCACAGACGCCATCTATAGGATCGACAGAGAACTCAAACCTCAAACACCAAAAATAGTCGAGGCTTTCCAAGCCAAGCTTTGATATCTGTCTTCCACTGCAGCTTTCACTGCAAGGCACAACACAAACTAGAGTTTGAACATAATCCATTTATGATTCAATACCAGACAGTCCTATGGCGTATCGGAACAGATCAAGATCGGTGAAGGCCGCTTCCAGTTCGGATCTCAGACTATCAGTTTCAATGATTATTTCCTGTTTTTTTTTCAGGTAGACGCGATTCAAGACCGCAGGCAAGTCCCGAGAGGAGGCATTCCAGGTTACAACGTCAAAACACAGCCTACGATGAAAGTTGTCTGCCACCGACTGGACTGTTTCCGGATTTGGACGACACCAATCGAAAGGCTAGGCGCGATTCTTTGAGTCCGGATTCTGCCTCTAAAGGCAGAAGAGACTCAAAATCGCGGCTGAGTCCGGACCGATCCGGCGAGAGAGAAATCAGTCCTGTGAGGAAGAGTAGGAAAACACTGCGTCGACAATCTACCAGCGTGGCGAAGAAAGGGCGTAGGCGTCGGTCTCCCGAGTCTTCCAGGTTTGTTGGTTCAATGAGAAAGAATTTTAGTTCGGCTTTACACATTTTTGAAATTCTTGGAATTTCACCCCTTGTCACTCCTTGAAAACATAAGCGATCAATGGAATTGTTTAGGATGACCACTATCGTTTAAATCTCCTCCCCTGTATTATTTTGAATATTTCAACCGACGATTTATACAAACCCTCATTTGCATTTTCGACTATTTGACATTATTGGAGAGAAATTCCTTTGAACACAATGACGTTTGAAAATCTCTGACATCAAATTACCAGGGGTACGAATTAATTTCTTTTGACTAATTTCATTACTTTTCCACTTGATGTTTTGCTAGAGTCTTCTTTGAAATACAGAGCTTTTAGCAGGGGAGCCCACGATGCAAAATGGGGATTTACTCGAGCGTCATTGAGACATATTAGGTTGCAAAGCTTAGATGATAACAAGAAAAAAAATGTTATATAATATATACCTTTTCATCGGTGGGGGAAGCAGCTATAGCTATATATGGTTCATCTTTATGTTATGTTATACCTAACCTGTACACCCCTTTTAGGTATTTTCAACTTTGTAATCTTAAATAAAGCCGTTTGAGTCAAAATACCTAACCTGTACACTCCTTTTAGGTATTTTCTGCTTTATGATGTTTAAGTCAAAATACCTAACCTGTACACTTCTTTTAGGTATTTTCAACTTTGTGATCTTGAATAAAGCCGTTTGAGTCAAAATACCTAACTTGTATACCTCTTTTAGGTATTTTCAACTTTGTGATCTTGAATAAAGCCGTTTGAGTCAAAATACCTAACCTGTACACTTCTTTTAGGTATTTTCTGCTTTGTGATCTTGAATAAAGCCATTTGAGTCAAAATACCTAACTTGTACACTTCTTTTAGGTATTTTCTGCTTCGTGATCTTGAATAAAAACCGTTTAAGTCAAAATACCTAACTTGTACTTTTCTTTTAGGTATTTTCTGCTTTGTGATCTTGAATAAAGCCATTTAACGTAAAATACCTAACCTGTACACTTCTTTAAGGTATTTTCAACTTTTCGATCTTGAATAAAACCGTTTAAGTCAATATACCTAACTTGCATACTTCTTTTAGGTATTTTCTGCTTTATGATTTTGAATAAAGCCGTTTAAGTCAAAATACCTAACCTGTATACTTCTTTTAGGTATTTTCTGCTTTGTGATCTTGAATAAAGCCATTTAAGTCAAAATACCTAACCTGTATACTTCTTTCAGGTATTTTCTGCTTTGTGATCTTGAATAAAGCCATTTAGGTCAAAATACCTAACCTGTACACTTCTTTTAGGTATTTTCTGCTTTGTGATCTTGAATAAAGCCGTTTAAGTCAATATACCTAACCTGTACATTTATTGATTCGATGAAGTGATATGTTAACCAGTTGACATAATTGAGTATCCTACTACGTGTTCATACGTATCTCAAGGCCATCTATTTATCCAGAAAATTTCGAAAACTTATTCCAGTTATGACCCAATATACAGGTCCAAAACAGGGTCTGCTCCCAAACACCAGAGAGCTGCAGAACTTTTCTTGATATACATTGATTTGAAATCCCTGAAAGAATCTGTAAAAAATTAAAAAAAGATTAGCAGAAAAATAACAATTATACTACAATGAAACATATAATGGAATAAAATACAAGCAACAATCGAAACATCATGAAGTAACTTGGTTTGGAATCTTTCAATATTTCAATTTTCATTTCTTGTTAATGATTTTTAACTCTCATCCCGTGTAAATAGTTAATTTTTTTTTAATTTTTTGGTTGTTGCTTGTATTTTATTTCATTGTATATTTTATTGTAATATAATTGTTATTTTTTTCATTGAAAACTATCACCTGTGGTGTTCCACAAGGGTCCACTTTATTTTTGATTTACATAAATTCTGTTTCAAAATTATTGTTGAGAGGAAATATTAAGTTATACGCGGATGACACAACATTGCTTTATTTTTCTAGTCACACTAAAGAAGTTTACAATAACATAAAAAATTACATTATATTGCTAACATCTTGGTTAAATTATCATAAACTGAGTTTGAATTATGAAAAATCTTCTTTAATGTTGATAACTAAGAACAAAATCACAAACAAAGAGAATTTGGCTGTTAACAACAAAATGATTAAATATTGTCAAAACACCAAATTTTCAGGACTATACATTGATGAAAGTCTTCATTGGAATACTCATATTGGGATGTTAAAAAAAAAATCGGACCAATTTTAGGAATATTATTCAGGATTAGAAATTTTATCCGAATGAAATATATCAAATGTATATATCTCTGTTTGGTATATTCAAATCTACAATATTTAATTTCAATTTGGTGTACAGCTGATTTATCAAAAATAAAAACATTCGAATTTCCATGTATTATGGCCATTTCCATGGCCATAATACAAGACAAACAAAAAAACTACTAGTTAAATCATATCACTCAAAATTTGGGGAGAAAGCAATATTTCATTTAGGAGTTGAAAATATAATAATCTTCCAGAGAAACTAAAAATGAATAAAAAATCAAAATTCAAATCGGAATTGAAAAAGTGTCTGCTTTCTTCCTCTAATTAAAATTCTGATCTCCATATTACATTGTTTGTTTTTAATTACCATTAAAATTGAAAAATGTATATATTTATATATGTATGTAAATGTGAATATGTACATATGTATGTATATATGTGTTTGTATTTATATATTTATGTGCTGTATCTTTAACTGATATTTAATATTGAAATAATTGATTTAATCATTATTTTAAATTTTATCCCTGTTATCTTGTTTCTTGGGATTATTAAAGATTATTATTATTATTATTAATTTTTACAGATTTTTTCGGGGATTTTAAATCAATTCATATCATATTGTCAACCATCTTCAAACAAAGACACATATTATATATTCAGATTTAAAATCTGTTAGCAACGAAAGTTCAAACCATTACCCTTCGTTGTCTACCACATTCAAATGACTGAAGTTCTCTATTTGTTCAATTTCGTTAAAAGAAAGAAAATTTGAAAAATGTGTCCCACCCCTGAACTTACTTTTTTTTCAACCACCCCAGCTGTTCCAGTCGAGAACCCAGCCCCAACAACAGAGGCGCTCCACCTTTAACCACAGAAAACTACAGACCAGCGATCCGAAGACAATCGACCACGGAAGAAATCTTGATAGCGAGAGGCTTCCGAAGACAATCAACGACGGAAGAGATGATCCGATGTCGTAATTTTCGCAGACAGAGTTCTCAGAGCGACGACTGTCAGAGATATCGTGGCAGGAGGGATTCCTCGACGCAAATCCTCGACGGGACGATAGGTTCAATGACTGTCGAAACATCTAGTACGTTTTTTGATTCTAGCACGCAGACAGGTAAGGAGACATTGAAAGAAAAAAATATATTTCATAACGATCGTTCTGAGAGCCGGTTATGATTCCAGCCAACCTTTGAGGTTGCCTCCATATTTCCATCATTGCCATCATTCATGGTTCGGCAAATTCCGTAAACGTTCATTTCCACCTTCTTCGTGATTTCCTCATGCCTGTGTCCTCTTTTCATCACATCATTTTGATTTTTCTCTTGTTATTTTTTCTGCTTGAGAGCCATCGCTCTTGTTCTTCCAAGTATCTCGGCTTGTTGAGTTTTTTCTAGTGAATATTATATTCCCTGTGTCCTTCGTACTGGTCTAGGATGAGAATTTGGTGATCAAACTTTGATGTCAAAACTTTTCTGGCAGTCTTTTTCACTGGTTCATCAGCTTTCTAACGGAAATTTTCTTACAAGTAGCTAATAATGGTTTTCTTCTGATAACCTTCACCACCAACGCTGGTGCTCCTCAAGATCACTTGTCTCTGTCATCAACAACAGGTTTCATAACCAATAAAGATTTGGAAGAATTTTGACGTTGGAGTAACAGACAGCAACTAGAATTTGATGCTACAAAGCCCTGGCATCAGTTTCCTCTTAGGAAAGCAAAAAGTTGTGTAGAACTCAGCAACTTTCCATTCATATAAAGCTCATATTGGACATTTTTTGGCGTGTATAGAGCTCCATCTCTAAGCATACCCTTCGGTTGCTAGATTTTAAACAGAGTTCTGTATCTATAGAGTAGGGAGAGTGAGTGCAGGCTCACACCACTTAGGCCACATGTGACCCATTGTATATCCTCCCGAGGAGTTTTCCTTTTATGTCATCGTCCATCCTGTCCTTTTCAGGAAGGTGGACAGATCTCTGGGTCTCTCTTATTGACGATACCTACAGACATTCGCATAGGACATGCCTGGCAGTTTCATCTTCCTGTTCGCTCATCCTGCATGAAGGTGTGTCCACTAGCCCCATATTGTGGAGGTGTTTTCTTAGTTAACAGTGGCCAGTCAGAAATCCTACTGTTAAGCGTAGATTTTTCTTTGTCATCGCCCGATATTTCTTCGGTGCCAGCTTCCCAGGGTCGCCAAAGGTGATCCTGGCAAAATTGCATCCTTTGATTTCATCCCATTTTTTTAGGGATTGAGCATGGGTGTGACGGTTGGCTAGTTCCGCAATTGGCAATGCGATTACCTTTACTCCTGTCGTGCCCTTTAACCCACCTCAGGATAATGTTATTATCTACTGAGGCTTTGGCTAAATCTTGGTGGCACTCTAGTGCTAGCCCTGAAGTAACACGTTGTCTGTTCAAGGCTAATAGGGCTTGTCTGCTATCAGTGCAGATTGTTATGTTTCTGCCAGAAATTCCTTTCCTGGTTATTTCTTTTGTGGCGATTCAGATACCAGCCAGTTCTATTTGAACAACGCTTGTCCGGCTTTGTTATACCATTGAGAAAGTTCATGGGGGCTTAGAAATCTATATCTTCGTTACGAAAAATCAATGCTATCACTGTTGAAAAAATAAAGCATTTTATTCCGAACATGAAAGCTTTGAATCTTCAACAAGTGGTGAAATGATCAGTTTCTTCCAAATTCCTGTAATGTCTGGAGCTAGAGAGGTGTTGATATTAATTCCAACACAACTTTGTATATTTCGATCAAACTCCTGAATATATTGCTGTATTTTGATCTCGGCCCACACAGAGTTCGTTCTAAATTTGAATTTCACGAATGCCATCAGTATAGACTTTCTACTCGGAAAATTGTCTCAGTACCTCAAAGGTCTGCAGCATACTTTCAAGCGATACACTGGCAATTGAGTCATTTTGAGTTGGACCACTTGTTCAGGCCAGGAAGTTGAAAAGCAAAAAATCAGGAAAATGCTACCTCGTCATATTTGTTTTCCATTATTCGTAGTCAACATATCATCAATTCAGATGCACCATTATAACCACAGCACTCAGAACGAAAATTTTCAGTGAATTTTTATGGCAGAGGTTTTACTGTTGAATGTGGAGATTTCAAAAAATTTATGAAATAATATTTGAGGGCTTTCAAATGCTCCCATCATATTATTCAGCTTATTGCTTTGCAGTCAAACACATACAACAAAATGGTTAGGTGCATGTTAGATTGCACGAGCAATTGTAGTTTTGTAACTTATACACATGTTCTACCTTGGTGGAGGTGAATATTATATTTTTTGTTATACAATATAATCCATTTGAAATGAAAGCACCGTTACAAAATGTACACTTTTCAGCTGATCGGATTTTTTTTCATTCGGTTGCCTATTGAAAACCAAATTTCATGAATGAATCAACTTTTATCATTTCTCAATGTCAGATATCCAAAACAATTCTTTTTTTATAATATGATCACACCACGTCAATGTCAAAAATCGAAAAAAATTCTTTTTCAATATTATGACCGCATTATATCAATGTCAAACGCCGAAAAAAAAAACATTTTTTATATTACTTTACTACATCAATGTGAAAAATGAAAAAAATCCTTTTTAAGTGATATGATCACACCATACCAATGTCAAAAAATGAAAAAAAAATGCATTTTTTTACAATATGACCACATAACATGAATGTCAATAATTGAAAAATATACCGTTTTTTTATAATTTGACCACACCACATCAATGTCAAAAATAAAAAAATCCTTTTTTATAATATGACTACACCAAATCATTGTCAAAAATAAAAAAGTCATTTTTAATAACATGACAACATCACATCACTGTCAAAATTCGAAAAAAATTGTTTTTTTTTTCGAATTTTGATATGACCATACTATATTAATGTCAATAATCGATTAAATGCGTTTTTATACAAAATGACCACATGACATGAATGTCAATAATTGAAAAATAAAGCGTTTTTTTTATAATTTGACCACACCATATCAATGTCAAAAATAAAAAATCCTTTTTTATAATATGACTTCACCAAATCATTGTCAAAAATCGAAAAAAAAATAGAATTTTTTATAAAATGACAACACCACATCACTGTCAAAATTCGAAAAAAAATGTTTTTTTTAAATAATATGACCAAACTATAATTATGTAAATAATCGAAAAAATGCGTTTTTTTTACAAAATGACCACATCACATGAATATCAATTATTGAAAAGAATAGCCTTTTTTTTTATAATTTGACCACACACTATCAATGTCAAGAAGAAAAATATCCTTTTTTATAATATGACTACACCATATCAGTGTCAAAAATTGAAACAAAAATTGCATTTTTTATAAAATGACAACAGTACATCACTGTCAAAATTCGAAAAAAATGCTTTTTTTAATAATATGACCACACTATATCAATGTCATTAATCGAAAAAATGCATTTTTGATAATATGATGACACCACATATTGTCAAAAGTTGACAAAAACTGCGTTTTTTTCAATTTTACCATACCACACAACGTTAAAGATCGAGCAGGGATGAGTTTTTTCATATGACCACACCATATCAATGTCTGAAATATAAAAAATGCAGTTTTTATAATATGACCATACTACCTCAATGTCAAAAATGAACAAATATATTTTTTTATAATACGACCACACCATATCAATGTCAAAAATTGAACAAAAATTTGTGTATCTTTATAATATGACCAAAAACACATCAATGTAAAGAATAAAAAAATTGAGTTTTTTATATCACACCACATCAATGTCAGAAATAAAAGAAATGTTTTTTTATAATATGATCAAAAAAATCAATGTCAAAAATCGAAAAATAATGCGATTTTTATAACCACTAGTAGTTTTGGTTATGTTAACATTGTTTCAAAATAAATTCGTCGTTGAAAAAGTTATAATGAAATGAAATTTTGAAAAACATACCATTTCACTTCTAGAACTTTCATCGAAATTCTGATTGCTCCTTCATTGATTGGTTTAATTCAGCAGGTTCAAGTTATGATTGAAGAAAGTTTAAGGAATAAATTGGAATAACGTAAACATATTTTTCGATAAAATTATGGTGTTGAATTGGTGGGATAATCACATGGCATATTTTTCAAATTTTCAAAATAAAATAAATCACTAATATTTTTTTCAATCTTTGACAGAAGTGCTCATTCATGAAATTTGATATTCTAGTAGACTTCTGACAAAAGAATTCATTCCAATTGGTTGAAAAATACATAAGGGTTCATTTTAAATTGGTCACATTGTATTAGACTCTAGACGAAATGAAAAAATATTGCAAATTCAACAGAAAAAAAATGTTTTGTCAACAAGAATTGTATCAATTATATCAATAGCTCGTTCTTTTTGTGAATTTTGAGTAATTATCGAAACTATAATGCTATTACTGCCGAACATGGTGTGAAAGTTACTTGTTTGCTTCATAGGTGCCCCCATGAACCTCAAATTGAGATTCAAAAACAACCAAATTTTTTCCTGTTACATTTGAGCATAAATTATTGTAACCTTTATGTTGAGGCAGTGAGAAAATACTCAACAACTTCATTTAATAACTGAAACAATTTTCTGTGTACGATCCACATATCTTTGTGAAAAATTTATACTTTTTTACTTTTTTAGAAGTTTTTCTCATTTTTTGTGTGGAGATGAAAAAATGTTACTTCTCCAAAACAGTGTTTCCTACAGTCAACATACTCATTTTCAAATAGGAGAAATAAAAATGAAAAGAACATTCTTCAATCGATGTGATGATCAGAAATCGATAAATCACGTTAATACCAGTGTTTATGAAAATAATAGTCAAACTAATGGATAGGTACATCTAATACAGTCAGTACCATTGCGTTAATGGCCATGGTACGATTGCGCACGGCTGGTGTAAACCTCAAAGTAGGAATGGGTCAACTGAGGCTGGGCCTATGGCGGGAATCGATTACTGCGCAACCTCTGCTGCAGGCAACAAGTGATGCAATTGAACCCAGGTTTGTGTTTAATAAACCCTACAAAATACAAATCAAGCAGAACACAGAGTCAGATGCTACAAATGCAA